TTTTGGGCAGCAGCCATTAGCCATGTGCTCAGCAAGGAGCTTCTTCCCGGAAGCCCAAGCCTCTGCTAGCCACACCTAGGATTTCTTTAAACTAACCAATGATAATCAAGGGAAGTGCGTGCCATAGACACAACCACATCCTGTGTAACAAGACCTCGACTTGCACCTGGCCAATCGGTAGGGCCCACAGTCCTCTCTCCTCCCCTTACTCCAACCCCCCTATAAATCCCCTCTTCCCACAGGGCTCCCTCTCTCTGCCTCTTGCCGCTGCGTCAGCGAGTGTGGCTGACGGGAGCTCAAGCTAGCTTGAATAAAGCCTCTTTTTGCTTTTGCATCGGACTCAGCTGGCTCCCTGGTGGTCTTTTGAGGATCCTGAAATCTGGGCATAACAGTAACCAAGGTACATGCCCTTGACCAGAATCAAACCTGGGACTCTTCAGTCTGCAGGCCGACGCTCTATCCACTGAGCCAAACCGGTTAGGGCAAAAAAAACTGTCTTGAAAAACTAAAACATCATGTTGGTACATAAATATCTGAGAATTTTATAGAATCAAAGAAAAATTGTGAACCTTCAGTGGAAAGTGCCCTGTGAAAATTCAGCAGAATAAACACAAATAAATTCTCACCTAAACCCATTGTAGTGAAACTGCACAATGTCCACATGAAAAGACCACAGAGACAAGTGAGAGTTTAACCTAAAAGGAAATGACGTCAGACAATGACTATCAGACACGGGGGATTGCTGATCAGCAACAACAGGTGGAAGGAGACCCTGGAGCAATTCCTTGGAAGTGGTGAGGAAACATCACCATCAACATAAAATTTTATTCCCAGATAAACTGTCACACAATATTGAGGAAAAAAGAGTGATATTACAAAACAGAAGACACACAGAGTGTCTTATCACCTGCAGGCACTCATTAACAGAACTATTTAAGGATTTATTCCAGGAAGAAGAAATACTAATTCAGAGGAATGGTGTGGGACAAAGGAAACAAAGCATTATGGGAAAACACACTGCATGCCGTTCTCAAAAGACACACCTGAGTGGCCATAAGCATTGAGGCCTCCTTCATAATCAGAGGAAAACTGAGGGAAATAAAAGGACATGCAGTGTCACACTCATCAGGTTGGAGAAAATAAAAAAGTGCAATAAAACCACATGTTCGCAAAGATGTTGAGAAATGAGCAACTAATAGGGGAATCTAAAACAAAACACATGTGGAATCTAAAACAAAACAAAGCAAATGAACAAAGAAAACAGAAACAGATCCATAGGTACAGAGAACAAGTGGGTGGTTGCCCAAGGGGAGGGGGTTGAAGGGTGGGAATAAAATTAATAAGGAAAAAACAAAGCTGTCATTATCTCTGTATTTATGACATGGTGTGTATCAGCAAATAAATTTAAAAAGAAGAGGGGAGCCCTGGCTGGTTTGGCTCAGTGGTTGAGGTATCAGACCGCAGAGCGAAGAGGCCTGGGTTTGATGTCCAGTCAAGGGCATGTGCTTGGGTTGCAGGTTTGATCCCCAGCCCAGCATTGGGGTGCCTGCAGGAGGCAACCAATTGATATGCCTCTCACATTGATGCTTTTCTCTCTCCCCTTCCCTTCCCTTCCACTCTCTCCAAAAATCAATGGAAAAAATGACCTCGGCTTAGGATTAAGAAAAAAGTTAAGAAGAGGGGATGCTGAGATAAAGTGCACATGGGAATTCAGGCCAGCAGCTGTGTGTGGGAGGGAGGGGGGCAGTGCCCTGCACTCCTGCTGTGAGCAGGAGTCCTTCTGGCCTCAGGCCGCCAATGGGGGTCCCAGGGTGCGGGGTCTGAGTGATAGGAATGGATGCACAGAGTGAGGGTGGGGCTGCGTGGCCATCAGGGTCAGGATCAAAGCCGGGGCTGTGATGAGGATGTCTGAGCCCTGATAGGGGAAGGCTGAGGGCAGGTGGGCAAACGGCACAGCTTCTATTACCTAACAGCCCCATTTGGCAACACTGCAGTGAGGCTGGGCCAGCGAGGGCGGGGTGGGGGTGCTGAGGAAGCAGGAATGTGCCAGCATCCACGGGTCCACACCTGTCACAATGGAGGTGTTGGACCCGGGCAGGGATGGCTCCTGGAGGCCCTCATTCATGTCACTGGCTGTCCCATTCGGGCCCCACCAAACCACGGG